GCTGACTTGGTGCATGTGTATAGATAGATAGTGTGGTTGATATGTTACACTCCTCCACACACACTTTTGCATCCACCAGGGGGACGGCAGGGGTGGAGCACCACCACCACCCATCACCCCACACCACCACTGTTTCCCAGGAGCAGGCAGAGGGGGCAGGGAGCTTGTCTCACTGTCCCCTCTATCCCTTTGGTCAGCACCCTGTGCTGCCACCACCTTCAGGGAGCAGGGTTAGGGGGAGGGGCGAGGACAGGCACACTGGCCTTGGCCTCCTGCTCCAATCCCACCATCATGGCGGTGCTCCGGCCATGATGGTGAGATTGGAGTCGCCACCGCCTCCTGCCCAGAATGATTTTTAAAGCTACACACTCTTATAAACCATTCATTTTATATAATAGTTAAATATTACATGTTCTATAATATGTTTTTCTCAACAGATTTCAAATAAAAGTAACTTACTGAGCTACAAATATGTGTGTGTAATGTTATACACTTGAGTAAACCTATAAATTTCATTTGTCTGAATAAAGTTGTTTTCATGCACACCATTTTGCATGTCTGAATACTAGATTCTTTTGTTATTGTTCCTTTGTAGAGCACCTTAAGGGTTCTTGGTTTTTATAGGGCAAAAAAAGAACAAAGGATTGCCCTGAGGAATCTTGTCTTAAATAAAAAATGTTTAAAGTTTGAGCTAATCACCATCATTAGAACAAAATATTCAAAGAAAATTTCAAGGACTAATTTCCGAGGCACCATTGAGTGTCTAAATACATTCTCCAGGGTTATGCATTGGAGGGAGGAAGGGGGGATGACGAGGACAGCATTTTCATTAGAGCGGCTCCTGGAGAGACACTCTAATAAAAATGCCACAGTGTCATGTGTATTAAGCATTTCAAAATAGTCATGGGGGCATGTTAACTAAAGCTCATATGATGAATTTTACTTAAGGCAACCCTGTGACCATTTTGAAATGTGGGACGTTTAATACGCATGATGGTGAGGCACACTGAAGTATTCTATTTAGAATGCTCCAGCAGACGCAATTAATTGATTAATCAAGTTTGCTCTGGCATGTTCTAATTAGAACCATTGGAACATGTATATAGGCACCCATTGGTTTTAGCACTTGTAGGTTTTTTATTGTTTTAGATGCAAAAGGTAAATACCATACTTTCATAAAACAAGTTAAAAACAATTATTTAGTTTAAACATGTACTCTTTGTATTAAAATAAATGTCAGGATGAAAAAAAATATTCAAGATGATAATTTACCAAGCAGATCAATAATGCACAGTTAATGTAACAACAAAGGGCTTGATCCTTCCCTGAAGTTCATTCTTATGCCTGCTGCATACTAAAACTAAAATTAGTTCTATATCTGTGTGATTGGAATAATTTCCAGCCAAGAGCCATTCAGTTTAGATCACATGATATTTCAAAGAGGGGCAGTTAAATAAAGCCAGAAGGACATCTGGATTTCAAATGACTGATTCCCAAAATTCCAGCATCCCCATAGTTCAATATAATATATCCTTCCAGATAATGGACAGTTGAACCTCATTCAGTAATCAGTCTAGCTCATTTCCAGTAAGAGTTTTGGCTATTTTCCCTGAAATACTCCATGGTAATTCCTTTGGAATACAGTGATGGATACTGAAAAGGGAAGAAGGCATTAATTGCAGGCTGCTTTGTGGATACCATGACCAACAAGCTACTCAAGCCAAGAAAGTTATTTTTGCTTTCCAAGCCAATGAAATATTAATGAAGAGAAACCAAATGCTATTCTAATCACAGTTGCCAGAAGGTCTTGAATAGCAGAGAGCATGGCATACTAATACACTAGCTTGCTGAGCTACTATATCTGTTATTTATATTTTTATTGCATTTGTTGTATGATAATGAAAGCTATCAGATAATATCACAATAAAGAAAACCATAACTTCCTAGCCTCTGTTTTGTTTACTAAGTGTTTTTGTTTTTTTCTTATTTTTAGATCAGTCAATGGCAATCCTTATTCTATTGAGGTCTTAATGATTTCACAGTAGATATTCTTGGAGAAGCTCAAGTGGAATTGACATCTTTAGAGGCAATGCTGAAACTTGTGGTGAAAATGCATTTTTTACTGCTGAGAATAGTAAACATCTTTCTTTTTTAAGAGAAAGGGATGGAAAATTCCTTTCAAATACAACCCAACTTTAATAATGTAAAGGTCATCAAAGAGAAATTAACAATGTCTGCATTCTGAGGGAATGGTGTGTAAGTACTGGACCAAAGTTATTTATACTTTTTCCCTTCAGATTTTAATAGCCCTGCCTTGAAAAATTCAAGCTAGTGCAATGCAATCTTATTGGATGTGTACAGGCATTACATTTAGATTGACCTAACCAGGGTCAATTTAGCTCAAGATTGGGTTAATGTGAACAACAAAGGTGTTAAGCTAGATCTTGTGAATGCCTGCACATATTCTCAGTGAAGCTGCAGGGCTGGGAAAGCTCAGCCACTTGTCCCAGCCCTGGGGTTGCACTATTCCTATCCCTTCAATCCTGACTAGGCTGGTACCCTCCCCCAATCTCTCCCTGAAGACCTACCAACCCTCCTGAGGAACCACCCACTCTGACTTACTTACAACAGGCTCCCCAAGCAGCTCCTGGGAGCAGTGAATAGCTGCACACTGCTCCTGGCAGCAGCAAACTGCTGCACATGCCACCTTGGCTCTATGTTCACATGGCTAAAATTAAGCCGTGTAAATGTACAATGGGTGCAGCAAATGACTGCACACACCTGTTGAGGTCAGGCTACACAAACACAGGAAAAGAAGTTGAATGACAGAAGCTGTCTCAGCTATTGCCTGTGGAGAAGGCACCATCATTGTTGCTGCTTCTCAAGACAAGCTACAGTTTTAGCCCCTCCCCGCCTCTGCGGCTTCTGTCTACAGGATTCCCCTTAAAGGGTCAGATTTTTTTCCCCTACTATAACATCCTTAAAGGAAAATATCCAACTCCTCCATGAGTGTCACAGAACAATAAACTGTATAAATTAGCAGATTATCCTAGTAAAACTATGCCATAGTGGGTGATCAACATCTAACCACAAAATCATATTTTCAGTTGTTCACAAGCTGTAATGAAGGTTGTTGAAAATCATGTCATAGAGAACATACAAGTTTCAAAGTCTAACAGCTTTATTCCTTTTTAATAACTTTGCTGTTCCCAAAAGTTTTATTTTTTTGCTTTTTATACTTTGGAAAAAAAATATGCCTTTTCTTCTGCCCTGCATGCATAGCTTGTGTATATTTTCATCAAGGCCAACTAAAAAAAATCTCTGGTGTCTTTAATTCCAGCTCTTCTTATGGAGCTGGGTATATTAATGTGATCCAAGAAGAAAGCTCTGGAGGATTTATTACAGTTACAATCCTCCTTTCTGCTCCCCACATTCAAAATGGCATAGCCTATCACGCTGATACAATGCTTCATATGAAACTTTCTGAATAATGATATGAGCAGCTCCAACATGGGAAGGAGGTGTCAAGAGCCTTATTGACTAATTAAAGGTCCCATCTGCATGAGACGATGACTGAGCAGTTTTTACTGTGCAGTCATTTAATACTTGCATACACAAGCACTAAATGACTGTGCTGTAACTGGAATTACTGTACAGTAACATCCCCGAACAGCTTTTTGGTGACGCTGACTGTGGAGTAGCTCGTTACTACTGCGCAGCAGCGTTGCATCATGCTTTGTGTCATGCGATGCTACTGTGCAGTAATAATGAGCTACAGTGCAGTCAGCAACTAATGAATATTCAGCCAAAATGTAATCGTATAAAAAGGCATCATTAGCAAGTATAGACCACTTGACTGACCGTCAGGAGACTGAGACTTTGTTCCTTATGTCGTTGACCTACCGTTTAACCTTGGGCAAATCACTCCTCTGTGTATTTTCATATGTAAAGTGAAATTTATAGGATCTTCTTTGTAAAACACTTTTAGAATTATAGATAAATAGTGGTGAATAAAGTCCTTTTTACACATTAGTTTTAGGCAGCCCCTGGAGCTCTTAACCCCCAGACTGTTCACACATTAACACCTGAAACTAGTTTTAAGCTCTTAAAGTAATGCCCTTCCAGGGCAGATTTATCTTTATCCATGTTACCCAGCTCATGTTACATTAACACGTAGCCACTCCAACCACACCTCCTCTCCCGCTGGCCAACTGCCAGCCCTCACTCTCCCTAGCACCCTGGTCCCCACCCACTGCTCCCCCTGCTTCCTTGCAGTTGTCCAATCTGTCTGTCCCAGGGGGAGCAGGTAGGGAAGGGTTAACCTGCCTGACTAATCATCTCCCCCCTCCCCACCACCTCCTACTGCCTGGGGTTGTTTCCACCTAGAGATGAGCAGCAGCCTGGCAGCAACAGTTAGCCAGGCAGGCAGGTTAACTCTTCCCTGCCTGCTCCCCCAGAACAGACAGGGTAGGCAACCACAAGTAAGCTGGGGGAAGGGGGAGCCTGGGAGTTGGGGGAAACTGGGGAAGCCCCAGAGGGCAGGGGGACTGGATATGGGGTGGGGGGGCACGCAGGACAGGTTCTCATCGCCAGGCCCTCTGCTGGCTTGAATGTGCGACAGCTCCAAACTCAAGCTAGCATTAACATTGATCAAAATTTGAGCAACTCAGTGTAACATGTGACAAGGCCATAAGTATATAACCACTACCTTTGTTTTAAATATAAAAGTAGAAGTACAGATATATTTTGGAGATAACCAAATAAACAATAGTACAACTTGAAAAAATGGGCAAAATCCTTTTTTCCTTGAACATTCAAATTCCCATTTATTTTAACTAAAACATGACCTCTTCATAGATTGTTGGAAGAAGGCCAAAGTAAAGAAAAGTAATAAGACTTCTTCAGCTAGTAGTGAGTACTTCTACTTTCGCTACTAGACAATTCCAGTATAGATGCTATAAGAATTATGAATTATACTTCCAAATGTTTCTCTTTCTTACCTGCTGGCTTACTGGAAAATTCCTGTTGATTTTTTTTATCTATAAAAAAATAAATAAAGACATTGATTAATAAGTATGCTAACTAAATACAAGAACAAGAATCATTTTGTTTAATAAATGGAATATTATCCCCCAAACTACACCCATATAAAACAAGAGCAACTACACTGAAGTTAATTAAATGACCACAGTGACCCTAGTGAGTGAGTAGCAAGACAATTTCTGGACCTATTAGATCCAGTTAATTTAAAACCCTGTTCAGGTTCATAGAAATATACAATGCAGGCAGGTTTCTTATGAGTTTTACCAACTCAATGAAAATAATTTTATATATATACACATACATATATATATATATATATATATATATATATATATGTATGTGTATATATATAAAATTATTTTCATTGAGTTGGTAAAACTCATAAGAAACCTGCCTGCATTGTATATTTCTATGAACCTGAACAGGGTTTTAAATTAACTGGATCTAATAGG